GGTTTGTTGGTATTCAAGCTAAGTATAAAGGTTACTTTGAAAAGGAACAGGTACAAGGAACTCCAGTGCAAGGGAAGAGATTATGCACTATGCAGATAAACTGATCTATGGTAGAAAGGCAAAAATGTTGCTTTGTGAGTAGTTTGATTTGAGCAAGAAAAGTCAATGTTGGGGTTGGGGAGGAAGTGTAGGATATTTACATATATATATAATTTGCATACACAGATTTGATGGGACTTTATGTATAATAAATAGTGAGGAAAGCATAAAATATCTCAAAGACATCTTCGTCAAATATCAATTTTAAGATAACTTATTAGAAGACCTGACACTTTGTTTTTCAAGGACTTGAATGAGTCTTTTCTGTCCAGATTGTAGAGATTGAGGATTTCTCAAGGGTATGAGTATTTCTTCTGTTTCCTTACTTATGTTTGCCTGTGACAGAGTATATGACAGAAACATTTGGTACATATTCTGTTTGAAGCTATGAAAATTAAAATTAGTCTTGAAAGAGGTATAGTATTTATTTAGCCTGTCAATATTCTCAAATCCTATTTTGGAGGGGTTTACGAACCCATCTACATTTTAAAAAGAAATAAAGTAGGTGGGCAGATGTTAATCTTTTACAAAAAATTGCTTTTGCTTTGGTTCCACATAGAAAACACTCACATATTTTGCCATTTAGAAGTACATGGGCAATATAAGTTGTTTTGTTCATTGTCCTGCTCAACTTAACAGACAGGATTTTTTTTCTTAAACAGTGCTTGGTGCTTCATTTCTGGATAAGCTGTATCTGATGTGTGGGAATTTAAAGATGCATATTGCTTCTTTGGGCTTTATGTGAAATTAGATTGTGACTAATGGGATTAGATTGTTCTCCAGATTTCTGCTGTTCTAGCATAACCAAAATATAAATATGTAAGTATACATGTAAATGTTTATCTGCTTAAACACTTTAGATACTTAAATGGCCACCTCAAATTTTAAATGGTAGACATTTTCAATGTACTCAAAATATTAAGAATGAAAGTCTTTGTGACACAAATCTTGAAAAAAAAATAGTAAATTGTGTATTTTTCTTTTTATTGTTTTCTTGAGACAGGGTTTCTCTGTGTGACAGTCCTAGCTGTCCATTTTGTAGCTTAGGCTGGCCTCGAATTCACAGAGATCTGCCTCTCTCTGCCTCCAGAGTACTGGGATTAAAGGCGTACACCACCATCGCCTAGCTAGTGTATTTCTATAAAATACCTAGATAACATCTGTCTAGAAGAACTTATTTAATCTCTCACAGAGAATATATTTAACTAATCAAAAACTGCAGTCATAATATTTTCCTTCCACAAGTTAAAGACTTTCAAGGTCTTTCTTTGTAAACTGACCTAAAGCTATTAATCATCAAATGTGAGCATTATAGCCATCTATTCTTGCAAGAGAGTATGTATCTGTTTATGACAATAAGGAAGGATAGCACCACATTATGTTTTCTCAGTTTGGAATCATATCACTATTAGGGGCATATATGTTTCCTCCCAGGTGGTTTATACAATCTATGTTTTCTTCTTAGTTGTGATTGCAATATGGTAGAGACACAAGTGCAGCAAAATGGTGTTACTCCAACTGCAATCCCACCTACTACCTACTTGACCATAGTAGAGGAGTGGTCCAGATTGATTGGAAAGTGGTACTATTTTCATCTTATAAAAATCTACTATAATATTCATGTAAATTTCATGTGCTGGCATGCATACAAGTTAATAGTGTTATAGAATGTCCAGCTCTCAATATGAGGGATTGTTTATGGTAAATTGCATTATGTATGTCATCTACTTGCTGGAAGAATATGGTGTTTAGCAAAACAACCTGCTGAGCAACATAGTAAGAGTTTTGTACAAAGTACAAATTGCTAATTATTGTATTTTATTTTTCTATAATTTCCTAAAAGGCATTATCAGGGTCTTACAGATGGAGAAAGCCTGTTTATTAAAATATCTATTACCAAATAAAAGTTACAGTTTTGGTGGTTGAATTTGTGATGTTTTGTACTGTTATATACAAGTATATTATTGTAATTTACTAATTTACTTTTTAGTATATGCTTCTAGGTATTGTTTAGAACTTCAGTAATTCTGTATGCAAAACAGTTGTAATTTTTCAAAATAATTACAGATTTTGAGATCTAGGCATAAATTCACACATATCACTATAATTAACGGATACATATTTTTGTAGTGATTTTATACTGGCAAATATTTTATGAGATTCAGATGAATGAAATTATGTATTACAGATGTAGTTTATACACATACACATATAGCACACCACAATGTCAACTGTTCTAACAAATCTTTAGACCATCACTAAAGATTTCCATCGAAAAATATCCAATAATAAATTATAAATCTAAGATTTTCCAGATTCCTTGTAAGTTGCTAATAAGAAAATACATCTGAGAGATGGCTCAAAGGTTAAGAGCACGGACTGCTCTTCCAGAGGTCCTGAGTTCAATTCCTAGCAACCACAAGGTGACTCACAACCATCTGTAACAAGATCTGGTGTCCTCTGCTGGCATGCAGGCAGAACACTGTACACATAATAAATAAATCTTTAAAAAAAAAAAAAAAAGAAGAAGAAGAAAATACATCTGCACTATTCTAAGTTGATTAGAAGTAACATATCCAATGTATCTCAGACTTTTATTTTTATAATTGTTGAACTGTAGTTCCAACAAGCCACTGTGACATAAAAGGTGGTATCTAAAACTATCTTAGACATGTGTCTTAAGTAGACTTGAGAAAATTAACACTGTTTTCAAAGCTTGTTGTGCTCACAATAAAATCAAGAAAGTCAAATTAACTTTGTAAGTCAAATGGAATAATTTTATGTTGTGTTTCTGGGTAAACTCTAGAGAGGTTACAGCTGCCAACCATCAAAACAGCAGATGCAAACATCTGAAATATTTACAGTATTTTAGGGTTCATCTTTTCAATGTTTTCTGGTTCACCAAATAGAATTTAGGCATCGTGTGAACTCTTTAATCTCTAACAACAATAAAATAAAATATCAACTACACTTCTCTAAAATAACTGTTCACCTTTTTGTTAAAATCATCTAAGTTGGGGATGAAGAGATGGCTCAGTGGTTTAAGGCAAAGTGGCTCTTACACAGGAACTAGGTTTGATTCTCAGCACTCACATGGTGGCTCACACCCATCCCTAATTCCAGTCCCAGGAGATATGATGCCCTCTTCTGGCCTCTTCCTGCATCAAGTACTCATGTGGTGCATATACATATAAGCAGACAAAACACATAAAATAAAATGAATAAGGCCAATAAAGTATCATCTAAGTTTACTGTAAAGTTGGTTGTTTAGCCTGTCTCTTATATTTTTAGTTTTCTCCAAATGCTTTGTACCAAGAAAAACTGAACTCAGTTTAAAAGAGGTAAAAAAAAAAAAAAGAAAAAAAAAATTCTAGCACATAAGCTCTATGCTATGTCTAAGGGGAAAATATTATATAAGCAAATAAGCATCCATATTTTGTTAAAGTGATTCACAATATTCAGGATCAAAGAAAAGTGTTTAATAGCTCCCTGTAAATGTATCTGGTGTCAGAAGTCAATGGACAACCACATCAGGGATTGAGTTGATTTTTTTTTTTTTTTTTTTTTTTAAAAAAAAAAAAAAAAAAAAAAAAAAAAAAACTCAAGACAAAGAAAAGTATTGACTGAACACTTGCTAACAATCAGACATGTATACTTTTCTTTCTTTAGTCCTCAAAACCACTACATAAAATACCTCTTTGAAGTATAGATAGGTTAATTTTCCTACACTACAAAGTATAGCATATATCCATTATCTATTTTAACAAGGACATTTATGCCATTGTTTTACATATATGATGTCATATATATACATATCTCTCGTGTGTGTGTGTGTGTGTGTGTGTGTGTGTGTGTGTGTGTGTATGACTTTGGTTCATTCAGTTTGTTTTTTGTCTTCCAAGCATCAGGGGACCAGAACTACACCCTATTCCATGTTATGAACACCTGGGAATTTGGAGAGGCGATAGAAAAAGCACTCCATAGTAATACACGTACAAGTGTCTTTCCCACCAAGTCTTTGGAATTCCTTTCAGTTTCCTTCCCATTTTGTTTTTCACCTCCATAGTCAAGTTATTAGGCCAGATTAAAAAAAAAAACAAGTATGGTAGTTAAAAATATCGCTAGCTAGTGAAAAGGTAAAATAACATCTCACACTTATGCTAAGAAGTTAAATGAAGAGATGAAACTTTAAAAACATGTAGAGATGAAATTTTTAAATACGTTTGTCATGAGAATCATCCGTTGAGGTGTAGGATGGGGAAAACAGCTAGCTTGAAAGGCTGACAAAAATTTCGTAGATCTTTAAAATCGTTGTATCTATGGCCTGTCCATTGGAAAGCAATACAACTGTGAGGGACAGTGTCTATCCAAAATCTTTCAATTAGTACATTTTATTTCTATTGCTATAAATCCCATGTGAATATAAGGTTAACTTCAAGTATTACTTAGCAAAAGCTTATCCTGGCCACCGGGCTCTCTGATCGCGAGGACTGTAATCAGAAATTCATGCTGGGTGTTAATCTCTCCAGGACAACAGACAGCTAAGCGTCAGGGACAGGATCACACTTCCTTTGCCAAAGGTCTCTGGCCTTTTTAAAAGTGACTCCCCTCCTCTCCTGCCCATGCTCAGTGCTATACTTCCGCAGGACTCGCTCTCAGGCCTAGCTGAGCCCAGGGAAGGGTCTGGGATGGGAGGCAGAACCGTATCCACGCAGATCTCCTCCCCACACCATGCCACGCTCTGCGGTCGAGTGGCAATCACCCCAAATCTGTGCCGAGAGCTCGGCGCTAACCACAACCGGGGCGCCCAGGACGCCACCTCCCTGCGCTGTGCGAGCAGCCGAGGGCCCCCGCGCACTACCCAGTAGGCTGTGCGCCGGCCCACAACACCCATCCCGTCCCAGCCGCGAAGGCGCGACCAGCAAATTGGCGGCTCCCCGTGTCTTCTGTGCTTTCTCTCTCTCTCTCATAGAACTCCTCTGCTGGAATCAGGCCATTTCTGCCCAGAGCTCTTCAGCGGCACAATGGAGAACACAACAGCCGACCCGCCGCAACGCCCGAGGAGGCGTGGCTCGGGGAACCGGAAGAGGCTCCCGTTGCCAAGGGAACGCCGCGCGCCTTGGCGTCGGCTCCGCCACTGATGCTCCCATCCAGGCGGAAGCCGCCGGTTCCCCCAACTTTTAGGAGAAGCTGTGCTCAGGACCAGGGAGCCTTCGTAGAGAGGCAGCGAAAGGAAGGCTGAGGCTCCCAGGGAAGATCCCACCGCGGCAAGGGGTAGAGGAGTGCGTCCATTCCTGTCCTTGTCAGCCTTTGGGCTTTTGGATTGGCCTCGAAAGATCAGGTATCTCCACCAGCACCCAGCTTTTTGTCTGTCTTCCTCTCCGTCTCTGTGTCATCTCTCAGCTCTGTTGGGTATAATTTTTTTACACACTGTCCGTTTCACCCTTGTTAAGTGGACACTCCCTTGCTGCTGTGGTTGCAGCGCTATGGAACGGTCGCCAGGATCCACTACTTCGAAAAGTTGCGGCTACCTGTTTGTAGCCATTCCGACCCCGGTAGCCAGAGGCCACCCTCTCTCTCGGTCTGATTTAGAATAAGTTATTGCCCATGTTTTTCAACCCAAACGAGGAGTTACTGTCTCTAATCTGTGAGATGGAGAAAAGCAATTGAGTTTATATGGTGAAGACTAAGGAGCCTCGAAAATGTATTGAACTGCTTTTGGCGAACGCTCTTTGTTGGCTTGCTTAATTAATTGCCTTTAAAGCTGCCCAAATGAGCCTTTTAATACGATGTATGAATTATTTAGTTTAAATTTCATCATCGAATATTTAAAACTGAGTAAGATTGTTTAATTGCGGTAGCAACAATCCACACTGCCAACGTGCTTAAAGTTGACAAAATAGCATTTCTGGAGGGCTTTTCTGTCTAATTTCATCTCTCTGCAGCTTCCCTCCAAGCCTTTACGTGTGGATAACATGCTAATTCTTCCGTGCTTTTCTGAATACCAGTAATCCTTTGGAAAGCTAATTCTCAGAAAGCAGCTAGGAGCTGATGTATATATATAAAGGGAAAGAGTGAGATGAGAAACTGAAAAATATCAGCCAGACTGTGAACAACCTTGAAACATATGCACAGCCCACGCCTTAAATATTGTAGGACAGAAAGGTTCGTCAATCTAAAAAGTCACACTAGAGTAGTTCAGTGCCAGTGTTGAAACCTACGTGTTCTTGATTCAAGTACCAGAGTTGTTTCATTTTAGAAAGTTTACTTCAGCTATTAGTTCTGCCAACATTATACAGTACTGGAGGTATATATTTTTTTTCCTAACCAAGCCAATACGCTATTCTCCCTATCTGTTAAGGCAGTCTTGTCTCAACTCACGACCAGCTTTTTATCTAGTTCTTAAACAAAGATGATAGTAAATCTTTAGAAATTTTAGTTTTAGTTTTAGTTCTGTCTCTCTGTCTCTCTCTGTCTCTCTCTGTCTCTCTCTGTCTCTCTCTGTCTCTCTCTGTCTCTCTGTCTCTGTCTCTGTCTCTCTCTCTCTCTCTCTCTCTCGAGTGTGTGTGTGTGTGTGTGTGTGTGTGTGTGTGTGTGTGTGTGTGTGTGTTCATGTAGTGTAATGCCCACTGAAGCCAGAAGAGGGTGTGACCACCAACCCTGGAACTCGAGTTATAGGTGCTTGGGAACCTCATTCTTTGGTTGTTGGAAACCAAACTCTGGTCCTCTGGAAGAGCAGCAAGCCCTCTTAACTACTGTGTTCTCTCTCCAGTATAATTTTTAATTTTTTTCTTCCTCTTTTTACAGTGCTTAAGATCAGACCTAGGACTTTTGCACATTGTAGGCAAGCAAGCACTTTATCATTTGGCTACATAGTTAGTCCCTAAGATCATACTTTTTAAAAAAAATTTTTAAATAGATGTGAGTTGTGAGAGTATAAAACTTATTTTTTGCCTAGTTCCAACCCTATCGTAGTTTTTCCCCCTTTGTTGTAGGGGTTAATTGCATACAAAATGTAATTGATAGTGAAAGAGTAAAGCCTTAAGCAAAGCTCAGTTGCTTTAGAAAAGTCCTAATTGTAGAAGTTCACTGAGATATATAGGGTTTGGGACTGGGCAAGTTTTTGCTTGAGTGTTTATCTTAATCTAGTTGTGTGATGTTTTATTAGTGAGTTCATTACAATGAGATGATTTTATTGTTAAAAACCTTAAACTGTTATTTTGAAGAAATTCAAAACAAAATAGAGAATCAAGAATGGCTGAGAATGCTTTGTGATAAATGTTCTTAACTGTTTATTATTCAACTACAAGCTTTATAGTTCACTCTTAGTGCTGCAGCAGATTATTTTAAAATTGCTCTGATCTTCTCTCTTATTGATTAGCAAGTCTTCCTCAATCTCAGGAAGTGTTTGTTTCTTCTTAAGCTTTTTATGGACCTATTTTAGGTTAGTTGTACTTAGCCTTGGGGAAACTTTGTTGTTCAAGATCTCACTTTCTCCAAACTTAAACAAAAATAAGGAAATGGAAGGAGAAAATAAAATTAGAACATCTATCCCATGAAAACAGAAACAGTTTCGGAGCACAATTCCCCTCAAATGGGAAGAAACTGTAAATCCCTCATTTTCTGGAAAAGAGACATTAATGAAAGGAAACTTGCTGGTTCACATGACAGAATATAGTGGTGTGTGAATTAAGGGATTGTGGCATGAACAGACCAACACAAGAATAGACCAGCTTCCCAGTTCACTTCCCAAAGGGTTCCCATTGCCAAGTACTCACCAAAAACAGTGCTTCCTTTCCCCTGCCTTGGAGTTTTACTAGTGTCAGCATTTAAAAGAGTGGAACACTTTCGAAGCTCATTTAAACTCAGAATCTAAAATTTCTCAAATGTAAGTGACCTTGAGATTCTTTTAAAAGTAATCCCCAAGAATTATCTTCCAGAGCATACAGTTTAGAATGTACAGAATTGAGAACCTACTAATAGACCCAAACATGTGTAAGAATATACAATGAGAGAAACATTAGTCAATAAGGGATGATTGGAAGAACATTGAAACTAGAAAAAAATGACTGCCTATATTATAAAACAGAAAGAGAGGGGATGAAGAGGAAGCCAGTTCTCTGAATCAGTTCTCATACCTGGATAAGGTTCAGACAAATTAGAATTTAAAATCTGAAAAATAAACTGCAAATATAGGAAACAAAGTATTAGCTAATGTGTTTAAAATACTGGAGAGAGGAAATGTTTCTAGACCTAAAACTGAAGAAACAGACGAACAACAACAACAAAAAAAAACTATCAATAGCATCAGATAAAAATCCTGTATTACAAAAACATAAGGGAGCCGGGTGGCAGTGGTGGCACATGCCTTTAAACCCAGCACTAGGGAGGCAGAGCCAGGTGGATCTTTGTGAGTTTGAGGCCAGCCTGTTCTACAGAGTGAGATCCAGGACCATAAAGGAAAATTTTATTTGACTAAAATGATTCGGAGTTGATTCGGAGTTCATATACATTGAAAGGGTTCCTGTATACAGTAATCAAAGGAGTAACTACCAAAATATGGTCAGCAGCTCATAGAAGAAACACCAATAAGAAGCAAGTTTTACAGTAATATTCAGTTTTACTATTGATGGAATGAATGTAAATTTCAACAGTGCTGTGATAGGATTTTTCATTTTGCAGATGAGAAAAAAATTGAAAAGCTGATTTTTCTTTAAAATTGTATATTCCAAAATATTTCAGTAGTTAACCTCAGGTGTTTGAAAGATGATAGAAAGTCACAAAAAGCTTGGAAAATGAATATCCATGATAGAACTTTTAACAATTAATGCTTGCAGTACTTCCCTAGAGAGGGGACATGAGAAAGAAAATAGGTCATAGCTTTGAAAATATAATAAAGATTATATGGAAAGTGAAAAATATATAAGTATATTAATATACTTAGCACAGTATAGGACTTAATAGCAAATTGGAATTAAAATGATAAATATGATTTGTTTCATACCACCAGTTAAATTTAAAGTAGATTCATCAAATGCCAACTCTTAAGCTGGGATTCAAAGAAATGTTTTGAAATGGGCTTTGAATCTCTAATATGAAAAGGTTTTGAACCAGCACAAAGGGAGGTACCTAAGGTCAAACCCATCCTTTAGATAAGAAAGACAGCTTTCTTGTAGGCCCCACCCTTGAGGGAGCCACTATACCTTGTAGGCACATCATTGATAGAGGTCTCCCAAAGGCACTAAGGAAATGTCAACTATACAGCCACTTTTCTTCTGGCATTTGACTTAGAAGCTTCTGATTGATTACCTGCTATAGCCTTACCTCTGTCAACATCCCTTGCTTGGGGTGCTATAGAGAAAAAAAAATATGAAAAGAGCTGTAGCATGACAGATTTATATGAACTTAAGTGAACATGAGAATCAGTGAAGTGAATTAATGGTCTCAGGAACTTTGAAAATTAATGTTGAGAGAGTGAAGGGTATTTATTACCCAGGTATACTGTGGCAGTGCCAGTTGTACTGGGTGGTTGGCAAAGGGAGCAGTTTTCCTCTCCTGTCATAGTAATAGTTAGGGTTTGATGAAAGCAAAGGAAAGCTCCTTTCAAAGCTTCCTTTGGAGATGTGGGGTGTGAGTTTAACAGTGCTGGCCTTGAGGGAAAGGAACAGATGTAAAGCCGTGCAAAGCAGGCAATAACAGCAGCAGCAGTTTTATTTGACTTCAGAGTACTTCTGTCTTGTATTGCTAATGGAATTTATTTTTTGAGGAGTTGTTTTGGGGGAGTTGTTCTTTAAAGTTTGCTTTAGAAAGTTATATAGTTTGCATTTTTAAAGTATAATATTTTTAATTTATTCTTTAAGAATTTTATACTTGTAGCTGGGTGGTGGTGGTGGTGCAGGCATTTAATCCCAGCACTTGGGAAGCAGAGGCAGGCAGATCTTGGTGAGTTTGAGGCCAGCCTGGTCTAGGAAGCAAGTTCTAGGGCAGCCAGGACTGTTACACAGAGAAATCCTGTCTCAAAAAACCAAAACCAAAACAAAACAAAAAGAATTGTACTGGTATACAATGCATTTTGATTATCTCCACCCCCTGCTCTCCAACTCCAGCTCTTCCTAGACACCCTCCCCCATGATGTTGCCCTTCCAACTTCACGTTCAATTCTTTCTGTTCTTTGAAAGTAACCCAGTGAGCACAATTAGTGCGCTATTATGCTCATGAGTATAGCACTATCTATGTGGGCAACCAGCCAATGGCCACACCCCTGAAGGAAACTGGCTCTCCCTAACAGCCATCAATTGCCAGTAGCTTCTCAGATAGGGGAGTGGCCTGGTGAGCCCTTCCCTAATCCATGCTGGAATGTTGGCTGGCTTGGGCAGTTCTTGTGTGGACAATCACAGCTGCTAAGAGTTCATGAGTACATTGGCCCTGTCATGCCCAGAAGGCTCTGCTTCGGCACTCCCCTTTCCAACTTCTGGCCTGTACAACCTTTCTGCCTCCTTTTCCAGAATGTTTTCTAAGTCTTGGGAGGAGGGATGTGGTATAGATAGATGTCCCATTTAGAGCTGAACACTTTACAGTTACTTGCTCTCTGTACTTGGATGGATTGTGAATCTCTGTATCAACAGCTATCCACTGCAAAAAGAAGCTTCTCTGAGAAGAGTTGAGGACTGCCTTAATCTATGGGTATAATGATAAAAGTGTAGGGAGCAGTTTATTACTGTGTCCATGTAACACAGTAATAGTAGTAGGCTTTTCCCTATGACCTCCCCATTAACAGGTTCTTGGTTAGGTTTGTTGTATGTACCAGGCATGAGTTTCTACCTGAAAAGCAGGCCTTAAGTCCAATCCGAAAGCAGTTGGTTACCCCCATAGCCTTCATGTCATTCTTGCACCCCTGGGTATAGCTTGTCAGATTGGTCATTATAATAGCTCTCAGGGTTTACAGATGAGGAAGACTTTAATGACTTTTTCCCCCCCAGAGTCTGTGTAGCACTTTCCTGTACTATGAAAGCTAGCTATCAGGGAAGAAGCTTTTGGTAAGTGCCAGCTGGATTTCTCCATATCTTGTGGATAAAATGTGTGGTATCTTCAGCAATAGTATCTTAACATCAAGTTCCTATGGGCAACCGAGAGCAATGGCAATGGCTGGTGTATTGTTTGGGGTGGTCTCTGGGATTCCCTTCCTGGGCCACCAACTGGAAGGGAGATACCCCACACATGACAGTAATAATAAATACTCCTTGAAGGCCTGTGTCTTAAGAGCTTAGTTGACAATATTGGGGACTGTGTCATGGACTGTAGCATCTAAAATTGTGAGCTGATTTATCTCAACATTTGTTATGGGTGCAGAAAGCTGACTAAGACAGATATTCCCCTTAAAAAATGATTCAATTGAGTACCCAGGGGACAAGTTAAAAAATAGATGTGTGGTGTGTGTGTGTGTGTGTGTGTGTGTGTGTGTGTGTGTGTGTGTGTGTCTGGCCTATGTACTGCCTTCTTTCCTTGAGCTGATGACAAAAAGCTTCAGAGTTCTGTAAAGAAACTGGCTGTGAACAATATAGCTGGTATTGAAGAGGCAACCATGATTAAAGACGATGGAACAGCTCTTTATTTCAACAATCCCAAAGTCCAAGCTTCCCTCTTCACTAATACCTTTGCAATTACTGGTCATGCAAAAGCCACACCAATCACAATAATGCTTCCTGGAATATTAAGTCAGCTTGGTGCTGACAGCTTAACAAATGATAGAAAGTTAGCTGAATAGTTCCCGTGACAAGTACTGGATAGTAAAGGACAAAAACTAGAAAATATTGATGAAGAGGTTGATGATGTTCCAGATCTTGTAGAAAATTTTGATGAAGCATCAAAAAATGAAGCTGACTAAAATCCCCTGGGTTCTGGAACCTGGCATGGACTAGAATTAACAATCAGCTCTGTTGTTCCAAAGTTTTACAGACACAGAGAACATCACCTGTTACTAGTCAGTAATATAAATACTTGGATATTAATAATGCTGTTTGTTCAGCATTTCTTGATCATTTAATTTTGCATTTTTCACTTCTTCCCAGAATCTATTCTTTTGGTCAAAATATGAAGTATTGGTGCAGTTTGAAGGTGGTTTTTTGGTTTTTTGGGGGGGAACTTTTGGTATATATGTATATGTATGTGTGGGGGGTATATGTATGTGTGAACATAGTGGACAGCAAATTGGACAAAGGTAATATCTATCTTCTTCCTTCCCCCAGTAGAAATAAAACAAATCTTTACCAAAAAAAAAAAAGAAGAAAAGAAAGAAAGAAAAAGAAAACATTGAATTTAGTAAGATTGACTAAAATTGTGAAGGGGTGTATCTATTATTCCTAAAGAATTAATGGTGAATTACAGAGATATATAAGAGACAGGTGAAATCTGGATAAATATCCGGTCTCTATTAATAGATAACCTTACTGAAACTGGAAATAATCCTTCAGAAAACAAAAGCAGTGACATTTTATAATTACATATTATTTCAAAATAGAACCATGGCCTCATTTCAGATATTTATATAGCGGTTAAACTGGTAGAGCTAAACCTTGGGGCTCTTGGTTTTCTTGTTTTCTACTTCTTGAGCTTTAGCCTCAGACTGTAGCTGAGTCTCATTGCCTCTGTAGTGTTCTGTATTTACCAGACTCTCATTCATAAATAACTCTGAAAACTGCAATTTGCAGACACTACATGATGCTGAAGTTAACAAAAGCTTCTTCTGGAATATTATAAATGTGGTTGTCTCAGGGATGTTATTCCTGCTGTCAAGGTTTATAAGCTGCCAGTCTGCATGTCAGTTAAGGCTCCTTTCTGATAATCGGCTTATTCTGTTTACCAGGAGTTAAGCCACACCAATGTGTTTGTGTGCTGCCATTATCCTTATATTTTTTTTATGTACATACTAATGTATTCCATATGTAAGGCACCATTGAAATAATCATTTCTTTCCCCTGGCAGTTGCTTTGTAAATATTTAAATCACATTATGGGATTGCTGGACAGACTTTCAGGTTTACTTGGCCTGAAGAAGAAGGAGGTTCATGTTTTATGCCTTGGACTGGATAACAGTGGCAAAACGACAATCATTAACAAACTTAAACCTTCAAATGTAAGTATCTCTGTAAAGCTTGACATTGTCTGATACTAGTGAAAGCTATGTACAGCATTACTGTGAAGTTATAACTTCCTATAATCTTGTAAAGTCCTGTTAATCTTACTGTTGCTTAAGGGGTTGCTTGATGCGTATGCCACATATTTATGCAATATGCAGGTGAGTCTTGATTATTAAGCTGGAATATTCTCTTTATCTTCCTTCATATTTCTCTAAAGAGCTTCCCAAATTGACTAAGTTTATTTATAGGTTGCACTGACTTTAAATTTCTTCTTCATGGGAAAAACAAAACAAAAGGAAAGATGCGTCCTTTTTCTAAGTTCTTTGGATAATTAGACAGTGCTGTGCATATTGGTGACAGATAGTGCTTTTGAGCAACATATGAAAATATTATTTTATTACTGAAAATATATAAAGCTAGCAATGCAACATAGGATTCATAAGTCAGAAGTAGGCTTTGTTGCATATAATTCCTGATATGATTTACTGAACCTTATGCTGTAACTGTCCTGGTTCAGAAAAATTGACCTGAAGACCTTAAGAGAGATTTGCTTTGCTTCCCCCACCTGCCCTTTGACTCTAGGAATAATAGCCAAAAGGTGTTATTAAATTGGAAGTCTAGACGCTCCATACATTTGTTACTCAGGTGTAGGTTTTACATTTTTCCCATCTTATTTTAAATTCATCACTTGTGAGCTTTCATCTACATTTGGGTGCTATTTTTAGTTAATTAACTGTATTAATTATGGGATCTACAGTGTTCTGTTAAGAAAAATCTTATAAGCCTGTTCCATGTTGTCTCCTTGTAATATAAATAACTTTTTTTTAGATAACTAGATTTTAGACTCAAACTTATTTTTAAGAATAATTTATCCTAGTGTTGTATTTAAAATGATAAACATCCTCAGCTGAGAGGGTATTCACCCATTCATTCTTTGTAGGAAAGAATGTAGTTTTGGCCCAAGCATGGTGGTATATGCCTTTAATCCTAGCACTGAGGAGGCAGAGGCATACCAATCTCGAGTTCCAGGCCAATCTGGTCTGTCTACATAGAGTGCTCCGGGTCAGCTAGGACTGTATGGTGAGATCCCCCTTTGTGTTTGGAGGGAGAAAAGCATCTAGTTTATCTTGAAAATATCCTAGGCAATTTGCATATTCTTTTGATAGTGTGCTACATATTCAGTTGATACCTTGTGTATTATGTTTCTCCTCAACATCAAAGAACACTTGAGTTGTCAAGCATTGAATAACAAATACCTAGAACAAGGATTAGCACTTAAATATATTTTAGATGGTAGGTGAATAGATTGATGGCTGTTATTATTATGATTACTATTATTATTATAATTATCATCATCACCTTTGGTCAGGGGATTTTGTTGATTACATGGAGATAGGATTTTTAGCAGAGTTGATGAAACTAACATTTCTCTTAAATTCTGCTCTTATCCTGTTGATACTGGTCTAATCACTGCTGACTCAAATGGTCCAGGCTACCCTCCTTCCTTTCTTGTTGCCATTCCAGTCCAATGGATGTTGTAGTGGGTAGCCATTCCAGCTTTGGTCTGGAAGTTCCAACCCCTATTGAGGCTTCAGTAACTATCAAGCCTACAAGGCGGGGGCAAGAGAGGGCCCTGAAGACCCGAGATCTAGATGCGCTGCACTCTCTTGTCTCCTGGACCCTGGATTCTAGAGGTAGACCGAGGAGAGTTCTCCAGAGAACACCGCAGGACTGCGCTGCGTCTTTCCCAGAACCCGTAACCTACCTATCCCTTAATTTGTAAGTTACGCCACTAAATAAATCTCCCTTTTAACTACGTGGAGTGGCCTTAATAATTTCATTAATATCTGGTGCCCAACGTGGGCCACGAACCCACGACCCTGAGATTAAGAGTCTCATGCTCTACCAACTGAACTAGCCGGGCTCTTAATCTCAGGGACATGGGTTCATGCCCCACGTTGGGCACCAGATATTAGTAAAATTATTAAGGCCACTCCACGTAGTTAAAAGGGAGATTTATTTAGTGGCATAACTTACAAATGAAGGGATAGGTAGGTTGCGGGTTCTGGGACAGATGCAGCACAGTCCGGCGGTGTTCTCTGGAGAACTCTCCTCGGTCTACCTCTAGCATCCAGGGTCCAGGAAACAAGAGAGCGCAAGCGCATCCAGATCTCCAGTTTTCAGGGCTCTCTCTTAGTCCCGCCTTGTAGGCTTGATAATTACTGAAACCTCAATAGGGGTTGGAACTTCCAGACCAAAGTTGGAATGGCTACTCACTACAGGATGTATTTGTTCCTGGGTAAAGCAGAGAGAAATTAATATTAGAGATGACTCTGCTAGGGAGATGGGAATGAGAGTGTGCTTGTTGTGTGTGTAAAGAAAGATATGTGCATGTGTATATATATATTCATATGCACATAAAGCCAGAGGTTGACTCAGGTGTCTGCCTCAGTTTCCTTCCACCTTATGTTTTCAGCCATTGTCCCTCACTGAATCTGAAGCTCACAGATTCTGCTGGAGTGGCTGGCCTATGGACTCCAGAATGTTCGTATGCTGTATCCATTTCCCGAGTGTGTGCTGTGCCCAATCTTTACTCTTTATTACTGTAGGGGAAAATGAGTTTCATATTAATCTACTCTATCCTGGTTAACATCTGGAGTTTCTTTTGTGGATTATTTCCATTAGAACCTTGGAGAAGAAAAAGTTGAGGGATTTTATCCCTTTGGGCTAAATTTTAAAGGGGGAGTTTGTGGAGAACCTAGGTAATTATGGTAACTTAAGTGTTCAAATAATAATTCATTGAAGACACTTGTTACTATTTGGTGTATTTTTCTGTGATTTCATTAAATTTTTAACCTTTATCATGTGATTCATGAAAAAAAAAAAAAAACAACTTTTTAAGTGGTAGGACCATGGGAAAAACAACAAAATTAAGAAGTACTTTCTTCCAAAGTTTGTTGTTTAAGGCACCTCAGAGTAATGAGGCAAGACCCCAAGTGCCACAAAATAATTTATTTTTCTAGCAAACAAAAAGCAATACTTTGAGGGAAATATTTATGCATCTCAAAGGCTGGGTATAAAGAAAAGCTGAGTAAACAGACTTGGGAGAGTTCTGGTTGCAGCACATTACTGTTAAGGTTCCCATGCTCCAGTTCATTTTCAGCTTCTCTCCCATTTGGATTTCAATTTTACAGAAGTAGAGTACCCAAGTGAACATGATAATGTGAGGCAAATTTTCCCTTCTTCTACTCTTAATCTCACATAAAAGTAACAAGATTTTTTTAATTTAGTTATTCTTAAGGCCAATATGGGAAAACATAGGAATAAGACTAACCAAAATGAGAGTATAATTATAATAATAGCAAACATTTGTGGAATGTTTATAGACACCATGTTGAGTACTTTGTGCCTATTAGCTCATTTAATTCTCATAATAACTTTATGAGCATGATAATATAGTTGACATTTAAGCAAACCTAGCCTTAACTAACTTGTACCAGGTGGCATAGCAAATTAGGAGTAATTAGGAGGCTATTGTAATTCAAAGCAACAAATGGAAAGGTGAATTCTAAGGTAATGGCACAGAGCCAGGAAAACTTAGCAAAGGAATGGTTTCATACATGGCATGTAACAAAGGAGGAGTTAACAACTTCTAAGCATCTGGATCATAAAGTGGATACATTTTTTTTAAATGAATGAACCGTTTTGATGATGGAAATTCTAGGAGGCATTTAATGTGTTCAGTTATCAGTATATTTTTGAATGTCTGTGAAACCTGTCAAAGTATGTTCTGCTGTTCTTGTGGCCCTGTTCCACAGGGTTCTACAGGCTTCTTCCTGTAGAACTTCCTGCCAGAGCCATCATGACTCCACTTATCTTCCTTCAGTCTATATCACTCTTTTATTTAGCAATGAGCTTCAGACATGCATGCCTTCTATTTTTCCTCAATAACAAGTTCCTTCTCTACCTGAGGTCATTTTACTGACTAATTCCATTTACTGGAATATTCTTTGCCAAGAACTTGTCCTGGGGCCTCCACTACCTACTATTTGCTTCCTAGTACTTCTCATCCGTGTTGTCATATGTTGATGGTTGCTTACATTCTCTATTTGATGAGCTTCTTGGAACCAGGTAGACATGAAGACAGACAAACCCAAACATACATAAATTGAATAAACATAATGTACATAAGTTCAATAAACATAATGTGTAGAGTGACTAAGAAGTTCAACACAGGAACTCAGAGTGACTTTTAAACCACTTATGAAAACAAGGTAAATAAAACAAAATGCGAATTCAAACATACGTGTTATACCAATTCATAATTGGCAAATAAATCTTGAATTTTTATAAGTGATTTTACATATAGTGACCATATTACAAAAAATTATAATATTTTACCTTGTTAACTCCATGGTAGCATATTTTAGAAATGGGAAAATCTGGGACTTGAGGAAAAATCCATCTTTGTAATTAAAAATGTCTAAATTTTATGTTTTCTCTTCTAGGCTCAGTCTCAGGATATAGTTCCAACCATAGGATTCAGTATAGAAAAATTCAAATCCTCCAGGTAACTGCCTTTTCTCTGTGACTCCAAAGCTGTGAGTGTTTCCATACTTACCTGGAAGTCAGTTGTCATTTCCAATTCCCATGGGCTTTGGTCTTTCTGTGTTACTACCTTTAGTTTATTCTCACACTTAAAGCTTAGACCAACTCTTGAAAACCTCATTAGCAAAGGAAACATTTTTAGGTTATACATTGCAAAATTATATTTAGATTAATTTATTTTTAATTTTTTCCTGAATGTTGATCACATTTATTGTCCTGTAGCCATGCTGATTTATCTCATTGAAAACAACTTAAGATATTAAAAGATGACCATTTCACTTAGTTTCCTAAAATACAGTAATGTCTTACTTTGGTTTATAGTTTGTCTTTTACAGTATTTGACATGTCAGGGCAAGGAAGATACAGGAATCTCTGGGAACACTATTATAAGTAAGTATTTTCATGAATATTGCTTAGCTACATGGCTACATTTTAATGTCAAATACTGATAAATAATCCAAGTGATTATGTGGTTTCTGCTGTACTAATGTAACTTCATATAATTCATGACACTGTACCTTTGTTCTCTTCTCTGCTTTTGGTGTCCATTTCTGTCTGTGGTTAATATAGCTACACTGTAAGAGCCAGCTGTCAGGCTCTGCAGAGTGGCACATGCCTGCTGTCCTAGGACTTGTAATGCTAAGGATGAAGAATCATAATTTAAGGCCAGGCTGGGTTAGAAGCCGGCCGGATTACCAGCGCTTGTGTAATACTTTGTTCACTCACATCTGTATAATCAGGTACCACAGCTGCCTTCAGTGGAGAAATTATTCCTTATTCAAGTTATTTCTTCAAGGACTGGTATGATGCTTAGCTCATAGATCAGAATTATTACTGACCACATTTAGTTAAAATAACAAGATTGTTTAAGAGCTGATTACTTGTTTTTTATAAATATTTCCAAACAAGATATTTTTCAGAGTATACAGACATAATGTTCAGTAAATACTTAAGATATAACACTGCCAACTTACTAGGATCCAGATGTTTTTTACTCACTTAAGATTGCATGTGGTGGTAAAATAATGTTATTATTCTATTTCTTTGTATTATACAGAGATGGACAAGCTATTATTTTTGTCATTGATAGTAGTGATAAATTAAGAATGGTTGTAGCCAAAGAAGAACTTGATACCCTTCTGAATCACCCAGGTACTTGTGTGATTTCTCTGTGATGTCTGTGCTTTGGCTTCCATCTTATATGTGTTGGTTTGTTTATGAACAAGTTGTTTATGAGATAGAATTATTTTCTATTTAAATGTGTAAATCTTAAGCTTATTGGTTACACAAAATTTATAAAAACTTTGCCTATTCTTTTTTAATTTCAAAGCTTTATACGGTGTTTTTTTTGGGGGGGGGATTTTTCTTTGGGGGAGGGCTACCGGTGTTTATTTCTTTAACACTAAAAATTCGTTGCTTTCCTAAATATATAAATAGTATGTAGTAATAAGAGAAGGACATTCAGAGAGAAAGGATGAGGGAGGCAGTGGCATTCTGTGCAGTAGGACATCAGGTATGGTTGCCTTGGTTACCTTATTCCCACGGGAGTGGAGATGGGAGCAGCTAACAAGAGGGCATGCTGCTGCTTGTTTGCTCTCAGTGTTAGGAAAACTTGGAGTAGAAGGAAGAGGAACTAGCTTGTGGTTTTATTTATTCTTTATTTGAGTGTGTATTTTAAGTGTATGTGTGTGCCTGAGTGTATTTATATGTACATGGGTATGCAGAAGCCCACAAATATAACTCGAAATCTAATTGGTTTTTTAAGATGTTAGAGACCAGCCCCCATACTTATTTACCCCAGGAACTCTTGAGGATTGAAGGATGAGAGACTTAGTTAGAAATAGTGAGGAAGAGAAACAGAGAGAAAATACAGAATAAACTCGGGTGGGCCTGGATCTTTATCTACCGGCCCAGAACTTTAGTCCAAAGGTCTGTTTATAACAATGCCAAGGGGTGGAGCAAAGTTAGACCCTTACAAACACCTGGTACCTAGGCCCGTGGTCCAATGAAACTCTTACACAGTCCTGCTGGGTACAGCCACTAGGGAACCTAATGGGCTCCAACATTAATAAAAATCCCGGACCCAGATATTAGGGTAAATGCTGAAAGATCAGAAAGACAAAAGAACAAGCCACTGCCACGTCTCACCTCGCCAACTCCACAAATTCTGACTGAAAGCCTCTCAGTCCTCAACTGAAAGGATTCCTCAGCCTTATGGGGTCCAGCTGAAAAGCCTCCAGCCAAAAAAGCCTCTAGCCGAAAGGCCTTAGCCAAAACAGCTCCAGCCAAAAAGCTTGAGCTGAAAAAGCCTTCAGTTCCTGTCTCCTCACGCCGTATATACCTTTCTCCACCCAGCTGTACCACTTCCTTCTTAGTGCTGGGATTAAAGGCATGTGTGCTTCCCACAATATTGGTATTAAAGGCGTGTGATTCCCAAGTACAGAGATTAAAGGTGTGTGTGCCACCACTGCCTGGCCTCTATGTTTAATCTAGTGGCTTGTTCTGTTCTCTGATCTTCAGGCAAATTTTATTAGGATACATACTATATCACCACACATAAAGGTCAGTCGAGTGCATCAGATCCCCTAGAATTGGAGATACAAACAGTTATGAACCCCTCATCATTTTATTTTTCAGTGTTGCTTAGGTAACATCAAGATAGGGAATTAAGTGACAAAATAAATATGTACAGTAATGAAACTGGTGAGCCTGTTGTTATGGAGAATTAGGTATAATATGACTGGGAATGCACTGTTTCTACAAGGTATGAAAATGCTGCTGTGTGTTGTCTTTACTGTGGGGGCAATTGGACAACACTGGACAAAGCTGGGAAGGAGGTTCTCCTTCTGAATTCTAAACTCTTTAATACATTTGCACTTGGCTTCACTCAGCAGCTAAGGACACTTACTGCCAACCTGGGATCCATGCTGAGTTTGATCTCATAGACTCGCGTAGTAGACAGAGGGAGAGAACTGAGTCCTTCCCATTACTTTTCCTGTGACTTCCACATACATACCATGTGTGCCAGCACACACACGCACACACAGGTAAATAAATAAATATAAAAAGAATACACATAACCTTTGGAAAATGCTTTCAAAATTGTAAATGGGAAAAATACCCTGTTAAAAAATACCTCACTTGTTTATGATGCAGTCTGTGATTTAAAAATAAAGCAGCTGGATGATGGTGGCGCACGCCTTTAATCCCAGCACCCAGGAAGCAGAGCCGGGTGGATCTCTGTGAGTTCGAGGCCAGCCTGGTCTACAAACTGAGATCCAGGACAAGCACCAAAACTACACAGAGAAACCCTGTCTCGTAAAACCAAACCAAACCAAACAAACAAACAAACAAACAAAACAAAAATTGCAGAATCCATTTCCTCCTCTTCCTGTTTGAGATCTGTCTCCCTTGTGCTAACAACTGAAAACAGGAGAAATATTTGCCTTTTTGCGTAGTTGCTTCTCTAACTGCCAGATTCCCCTTCTCTGACTTTCTTCTTTTGTTTCAAGTCAGAGGGCACATGTCTTACCAAGTAGTTTTGATCTCTCTGTTTAGGTGAATGTTTAACTGTGCATCTGTGAGTGCTTGTGCATGGATAATACTGAAAGAAGCAACGGGAAAGTTCATCTCTCAGTTTTCGGGGCTTGGGGCAAAGTGATCCAAACAGGTGTTGTGGTGGTGTCTTTCCTTTGCAGATATTAAACACCGCCGGATTCCAATCTTGTTCTTTGCAAACAAAATGGATCTGAGAGACGCAGTGACGTCTGTGAAAGTGTCTCAGCTGCTGTGCTTAGAGAACATCAAAGACAAGCCCTGGCATATTTGGTAAGAAAAAATAGTGCTCATTTTGTCTTTCTGAAAAGCCTGTGAAATGCAGGGTTCTATTTAGGCTTTTTGTTTGGTCTTTACATCATTTTATAAATGGCAGACATGGAAGAATGCAAGCAGAGTATTTACTTCACAGAATTGTGACATTCCAGGTACTCGTGAATAGATTGCTATTAACTTTTCAAATCCTTTGGCACTAGAAAAGGTATATTAAAAAAAAAAAAAAAAACCTCCTTATAATCAAAAACATAAATTATCCACTTGCTCTTTGGTCTTTAACCACAACGACTCCCCTTTTCACCTGAAATTAGACAAGCCCAATCTTTTCTTGGGATATTTGCACTCAGGTATCACCTTGTCTGAGTCTTTCTCCAAAACAATGTTCTGGGTTGCTACTGTGTTTTACCAGTACCATGTGGCCTCTCCTTTGCTTTTTGTTTTGGAGGTAGTTTGTCTTCCTAGAGTTGGGACTTTTGCCAGGTTTGGTTGCTGTCGTATTTTTCTTTTCCCACTTCTGTGACGGGTCCTTGGTACATATACTATAAAGATTTGTTCAAATGAGGACGTAGAGATAATGGTTGTATATGGACTTACTAGTAAACAATGCCTGAAATTGCTATGCATTACTTATTTAGGAAATAGTTTCTTAAGTAACTCCTTTGTGCTACCTTCCAGCGATCCTCTTTTGTTACCTACTCACCCACTGCCCGTGCCCCAGGATGTCTTTCTGTAGTTTCCCTACTTTTCACAATTTATAGTAATAACTAAAGGGAAGTTGGACACAAAGCAGAGAAGTCTACCGACTCTAGAAGTGATGTAGCATGTAAAGCAAGAAAGTGGAGCCTCGGAATCCCAACATGGAGTGTGGGATGGGAATTCCACTCCTAGCAGCATTTTGAAAGTTTCTTAAGAGGAAGAGTTAGTTTTCTTTAAGGGTGTGACCCGATAGGTCAACCACACACCAGGGGAGACACCACACCTAAAACTGTTTTGGGGTAACACAAACTAGACTCCCTGGGTTTTCAAAAAGAGTGACTCCAAGTTGGATGGGTAGGGAGGTGAGAATGAATGTGCTCAAAATTGATTGTATGAAATTCCAAAGAATTAATAAAAACACTTTTAAAAAGAAAAGCTCTTTAAGAGCTAGCCTTGGTGCTGAACAGAGTAGCACTTAAGTAAACCCAAGAGACACCTCGGGATTCTATGAGGCCCAGCATCCCTCTACCAAGGAAGGAAACAGTGAAACCTTCCTTGCTTTTGAGTGGTGGTAGGGTCGGGGCCAGTGCTACTCTATGGTTGTTCAATTTGCATCTGAGGTCCAGTAATGTTTAATAGTTAAAGGAGAGAGTGATTTTAGAACGAGAACAATTTTGAGATAGAACCTTTGCTTCACAAACCACTGGACTCCAAAGACAACATAAATTAAAGTGAATACTAATGTTTGCATTGTGCAGAGTATTGTGATGCTTTGATGGGAGGCACAATATCCAAGAATGACTGAATTACCCCCTTTCTACCTAAATTAACTAACAGTTAAATTTAAACAGATTTATTTATTCAATTATGACATCTCAAAATATCTCTGTGTGAAAAGTGAAATGGTGATTCTGTAACGATATATTGCCAGATTCTATGTTCTCTCCATATAACACAGAAAAATGCCAAGATTTTTTTTAACCTATCTATAACTTTACTTCTATTTAATTCAAACTGGATTTCATCTTGCTAATTCAAGTTAGCATTTCATTTATAAAATTTGTTCTGCATTTTGTGATATTTTTTAAAGCACGAACAAGATTGAAAATATGTTTATCCTTCTTTTCTAGCTTTAGCTATGTGGGTAGTAGTCCTTAGTGACACAGAGATAAGAGAGTTGCTTGTCTCTTAGATACAAGTATATTGGTATAGTCTGGGAAACTAAAGAAGAATTTGGGGCCTTTATTTTTACTATTTTTACTAACCATTGGCTTCATTGCATTAGCACGTTTTTGACTTAGTTCCTTCGTAATATATTTTGATTTGCATATTGAATTCTGTTATAGACAGTTAATAAGGAAATAATTATACAAACGTCAGATGACCGGATGGGGCAATGTCAACAGCGTAAGAGAAAGCATGAGCTGACTTGTTGTTTTTATGGCCTGATTTCAGTCAGGGAGCATTTCATGTGAAGGCCTGGTTGGAGAAGCAGCTCCCCAGTGAGAGGCCAGGAAGAAAGGCCTCTTCATGGCTGAGAGTGTACTGGTCTGTTCCAGGAACAGAAGGTAGTCTGACTGCAACAGAGCAGTCGAGGGAGAAACCATGGGAGATGTGGCCACTGAGAAGTAATTGAGGGCCATAAAATGCAAAGCACTGTAGTGCGTGTGTCGGAGAGCTCAATTTTTACTCTAGTTTATGTCAAAGAAAAGGCAGAGCTTGTTCATAGAAATATGGAGGGGTTTTAGTCACTTGGTGACACTTCCACCAGTGGACAAGGAGTTCTTCCCTGTATTCTTGTCTAGGGTTGTATGTTTATAAAAAAATCTTAGATTTTTGATAAAAGCGTTTTAGTTCCAGGTGCCTTGCTGTTATGATATGTAATCAAGAATGTGCTTTGAAGAATTGTTTACCTCATACTGTTTGTTCCTGTCTTCTTACTTGAAAAATTCTTCACTACCATGTAGTCTCAATTTAACAAGCAATTCCTTGGCAGTAATTCTTTTAGTTAGAACCTGATTAATTCTTTAGGTTCTCTGCCGTGTTTTAGGTATGCTTTCCCACTAAGTGAATGCTATAAAATAATCTCTAGTTATTCAGAAATTTTAATTATTAATGTGATCATAGATATTAAATAAGCTACTAGATCTGTAACACATAACATTGGTCTATATCGCTCAAAAGGATTATTTGAACTTTTCCTATTTTAGTTTTATATACCTTGAATACTTATAGATGAAATATCACATTAGGAGTTTAAATTTAAGTCTGGAAGACAAAGGAAGCACTTTTTGTTTTACATACAAATATGTAAGTCTTATAATAACCATGTTAGGTCAGTGGTAATATTCCTTCAGTTGCAGATGCCAAAGGTTCCCACAGTAGTAAATATAAAAGTACAACTGAGATTAATGGGGATTTTTTTTTTTCTTCTAATAGCTTATAAAAGTTTATGACCAGCCAGGGGGTGGTGACACATGCCTTTAGTCCAGCACTTGGGAGGCAGAAGCAGGCAAATCTCTTGAGTTTAAGGCCAACAGGGTCTACAGAGTGAGTGAATTCTAGGACAGCCAGGGCTACACAGAGAAACCCTGTCTTAAAAAAAAAAAAAAAAAAAAAAAAAAAAAAAAAAAAGTATGAGCTCTTCATGGTGGCTCCTAACTGTGATTTCTATATTTGTAGGGTGGAGGCTAAGGTTCAATCAACACATAGCAAGTTTGAGGCCAGCTTTCCTTGTATGAGATCCTGCCTCAAAAATAAAACACAAAACAACAACAGAACCCATATTGCAATTATGGGTTTTTACATATAGATAACAAATTACATTTCAAATGAAGTCAGTTGATTCTGTGACTATACTGTGACTTAAGTCAAACATTTCTATTGGAATACTGTGTAGAGTGGGGTAGACAATGAGTAAATGTGTCGATCACTGTGTAGAGTGAGGTAGACAGTGAACTCTAGAAAATTTTTTTACAGTGAGAAAAATAACCTGATGTTTATGTGTTCTTAACATCACTACATATTCTCAAAATTTGTCCCACGTGTTTTTCTCCCAATCCTCAGACTCTAAGTTTCTGTTTGTTCTATTTCAATACTTAATCAGTTTTGCGCAAATGTATGTTATTAGTATATATTTCTTTACAGTATTGCAAAAGTGTTATTGTACTCTAGAGCTGTATGATGCCATAAGATAGATGTTTTGTGTGGCTTTTATTTCAGTGCTAGTGATGCCATCAAAGGAGAAGGACTCCAAGAAGGTGTGGACTGGCTCCAAGGTACATCGCCAGCTACGGTGCATCTGTAGCCTGTTTCCTTTCATTGATTTCTTTCATTTTTGATTTTAATTTTATTACATCAATGCCCCCTTCTTGTTTTTATTTCTGCTGTCAGAAAAAACAGTACAGTAAGTATCTGATACCTTGCTGCATTTACTTTATTATATTTTTCTGGCAGATTTAATTAAAGTGTTTCTATGTTTATATTTTATATATACCATATATATATATATCAGATCTAGAAAATGGTTTTAATTTAGGGACCCAGATTTTCATTAACTCTAGTAGCTGAAAACACATACCAAGTTTGGAACAAATGTTAGTTAGGCCTTACTGTTAATGAACGGACCAAATTACAACTATCTTTTTCTCAATCATGCTGTATAGCACTCCATATATAACTTCATTTATACATGACATAGAGGCACAAAACACTCATACCACTCATACTACTATTATAAGTACTATTATTCCATTGATACTTGTTTTCAGTTCAGTTTTTTAATCAAAATAGCTGTAATAGATTGTCACAGCACTATTATATTAGGGAATAAATTAAGATAATAGTTTTCCCTAGGGTCATATTATCTACTGTGTATTAGAACAGCTTGAAGCATGCAAAGCAATAGATAGGTGTATGTCCTTTCTGTAGAGTTCTTATGGCCAAATCAGAAATTTTCAAATGACTGTTTGTTCTTACTGGGAATCTCCCTACTCTGAATGGGATAAAAGAAGATAGAAATCCTAATTACGGTTTTTGATTATAAATACTATTCATTCTACATTAGCCTTTTAATATTAGATATGTGTGGGATAGTTTTTCATTTTTCTTCTTCCATGTTTTGGAAACCATGGCAGAATTATAGCCTGTTGTGTTAGATGGTAGAGTAATCTGCCTACAGATGCTAAGAGCATGTTTTATAAAGATATGTAAAATCTGCTCTTCTAGTGAATTCCACAGACTTTAATTTTTTTTCCTTTTGTTTTTGTTTTTGTTTTTGTTTTTGAGACAGGGTTCCTCTGTGTAGCCCTGACTGTCCTGGAGCTGGCCTCCAAAGTCTGAGATCCACCTGCCTCTGCCTCCCCATGCAGGGATTAAAGGTGTATACCACCACCTCCTGGTACAGACTTTCCTTTCTAGCTTGTATGTATTCAGTCAAAACATTTACTGTTAAATTGCAAAGACCATTCTAGTCATATTTCATAAATCAGTGAAACAAACATCTCTCTCTGATGGTTCTCAAAATTAGTAAAGGAAATTTTTTCTTTGAACCCACCAACTTCATGTTTCAAATTATTGTAAGAAGTGTTCAGGGTTATGGGATGGATAGCTTTCCAGAAGAAACTGATAGGTTGCAGAGTAGAACCCCAGGGAAGACAGAGAAGTGTATTTTCTTCTCTGGCTTCGTCCTTTGCAGATGCTGACAGTACTCTCAGTGCAGACGCGGCAGGCCGTGGAAGCCCTGCCAACACTCTTCGTGCAGGGCTTCTGAGCACAGCACGGAGAAGATGCTAGAGCCCCTAGGTTTGGGTTTCCATCCCTCCTTCCCCAAATCCATTTATAGTTCCAGTTTTATTTTTTTTAATCTGTAGCAATAGCCACTAGGTGTCAGTAATGACCCAATTTTACAGTACCAGTTTTCAACTCTTCTTAGTACCGATTGTTTTTCTTTCTATTCTGATCTGTTATCTTCCGCGTCCTAAGTCTTTGTAAGAACAGACTACTGTTAGAAGTGGTTTTGTGTCCTTGTGTTGCAGCAGTCTCTGCAAGGTGAGTAATAGCATCTTTGCCTGCTCTGTGCAGCAGGAGGAGCAGCAGAGGAGCTGCCCTTTGAGGCAGCACATCTGTCCCACATACTAGTAACCCCTCTTCACACTGACAGACATCTTTTGTTAGCTTATGAAGTAACTGTCACATCTGTAATATTCAAAACAAATTTCATAAAACAGTGTGTATGTATGTTAAAATACGATGCACAGGAAAGCTTTCAATGCATCTCAAACTTACTCTCCTACCCGGACATCTTATCTAAAAGAAGCAGAAACCATATTGTTTTTTCAAAAATTAAAGAGTTCGTTAGTTTGCGTTTGACTAGATGATCATTCATTCGTATTTTCCTGTAGAATAGTAACAGTGTACATTTTATGGTTCTCACTTATCTGTCTGAATATGAAAAGAGGTAAACACCTATCTTCAAAACAAGTAATAGTAAATAAAAAAGACTAACCTGCTTGCAATGTCACTCATTTGCTACGTACACATCAAAACTCTAGCTGTGAAAGACCTTTGAGCTGAACTATGTTCATTTTACTTTCAGAACCCTGAAGTTTTCTAGCCTGTTAAACAAGGTTCTTTTTGTACTAATTTAATCTTATTCTTTAAGCTTAATATTGGACATTTTCATGAAATATTAAATGTTGCATATGATTATATTCTCTTTTGAAAGATTCAGTAATTTTGTATGTGTAATAATAAGTATAAAATTTCTAGTTCTGAAACATTCAAGTGAGATTTTTGTAGGGAGAGGTAGGTTTGTTTTTTGTTTTTTTGTTCTGAGGCAGGGTATCACTATTTTATAGCACTGGCTGATCTGGAACTCACTGTCTGAATTCCCAGCAATGAGACTACAGGCATGTTCCACCTGCCCAGGGTTCAAGTGAGATTTTTTTTTAAAGTTTTTCCAAAATAATGAAACTTGTTTTATCATATTACATGCAAGGTGAAAAATCAGTAATGCCTTCCAATTTCAAACCATAATCCTGTTTTGTTTTGAATACCAAGAATAATCCTAGGACATCCATCACATGTGTTAAGCAAACATATGTCATAGACAAGTAGTGTACTTTGGGTCTACCACCCTAACTCACTTCTAGATTGTAATCTCTCTATTGTACATGTTGTACATATGAGTATTCTAATGAAAATAGAGGATTGAACATAAATTCCAATTTCAGGAATCATTAATGATAAAGGCAGTGTTTTAAAAAGATGTTAACTCCGTGTACATAAAGAATGGATGTGGTAAAAATGGCAATCTTGTTTGGAAAGCCGGAGATCTGATGGTTGTTGATTGGCTTAACAGGCCCCCAAAAGCCAAATCCTAAGTGGGCACTATGAAATGATAGTACACAGCCTAATTCACTTCGAAGATCTTCTCAAGGGTTAAGAATATGCTTGTAATTGGAAATAAAAGATGGATCTGGAGCTGAAAAGAGAAAACATGACCCCCTCCCCCCACCCCCCATTCCACCCCCCTGCCACCCAACAACTACAAGAAACAATGAGTTTCAAGTAATATCCTTTGCAAATATTCAAACACTATATGTAGACTGGAAAATACCAGACACACTGTATGTGGTAACAGTAAACTGAAAGCCAGGAGGAGCTGCAGGTTTTCTTGGAAAATATTGTGATTCTCTTCTGTCTCCTACTCCACCAGGAAACAGTAGAAGTAGGCACAATGCGGAGAGGGTCAGCTGAGGAATCAGACTAAGACGTAGGCAGACACCAGGGGTGGTGGTGCACACCTTTAATCCTAGCCCTGGAGAGGCAAAGGCAGGTGGATCTATGAGTTTGAGTCCAGCCTGGTCTACAGAGCAAGTTCCAGGACAGCCCTGCTACAGAGATAAACCCTATCTCAAAAAGCAAAAAACAAAAACAAACCCATAAAAACAAAACAAAACAAAAAACCAACAACCCCAAACAACCAAAGAGGTCATATTGAGAAGATCCTGTATCCAAACAAGAGACAGTTTAGAAAGAGAACCAAGAAAATAGGGAGGAATAGTATGTCATCATCAAAGAGTATTTGCTAGAACTGAACCTTGAGAGCCCAGTGCTGGGGAAGAAAATATTCCTCCCCAAGGCACATCATTAGTAAGTTTCAATCCTGAAGACAGTGTTACTTGTACAATCTTCCTGAGGTGGAAATAGGTTTCACATAAGGAGGGAAATGGTTAAATCAAACTTCCCAACACCCACTAACTTGGGAGCTACATGTTAATGGTCAGTGTCTGGAAAAGATCATGGAGAGTATCCTGGAATCCCATACTCAGGCAATACCAAATGTGACAGTAAGTGAAGACATAGCTGTATCAGCTCAGGAGGGAGAGAGTAAACCAAGAAAAGAAAAGACAAGATCCAGGGACTCATCTCCCCTGTGTACTGGTAAAGTTCCCATTGTGCAGGCATGAGCCTGAGTGGGTTTAAATCCCCAATACTTACTGAAAGCCAGTAGCACTCGTCTAATCCAGTGAGCCTATGGCAAGATGGCAGGCAGAGATGGAGCATCCACAGACGCTTGTGTGTCAGCCAGCCTGGTGTGTACAACTGCAAACAACAAAGACCCTGCCTTAAAGTGGAAGACGAGAACCAACACCAGAGTTGACCTCTGACCTCCACACATGGACCAACACACACAGACACATGAATGTGTACACGTGCATCTTACACTAACAAAATAAGGACAGAAGGGGAAGAAAGGAAGGATGGCTAGATGGATCAGGACCTAGGAAAACCAGCACAGGAATGGAGGAACAAATTCGTGCACTGATAATGAAAATCCTAGACTAATGAAAGGGATCTCAAGGATAGTTGGCAAGCACAGAAAAGGGCTCTCCAGGTTGGAGAGTCTCATGAGGTTTAAAAAAAGTTCTTCAAGAAGGTGTAAACAGGGACTAGCAAGATTGCTCAATGCTTAAGACTGTTCTTCCAGAGGACTTCAGCTAAATTCCCAGCATCCTCATGGGGGCTCACAACCATCCATGACTCCAGTTCTGGGGTACCCAACATTACTAGCTTCTGTGGGCACCAGGCATGCACATGGTACACAGATATTCATGTAGGAAAAACACCCATACACATAAATAATTGTTTAAAAAGAAGGTGAAATGATGGTTTATGTAATGTGTGTCATGTGTGAGAGTATTTGAGTTCAGTTAGTGTTAAATATGCTAAAAAAAAAAAGAGAAAAGAGGAGAAGGAAGAGGAAGAGAAACTAAATAGATGGGCTTGGTTGAGATTATTACCTTTAGGGTAAACAAAATTTAGAAGAAAGTCTACATCCTACCTGTCTGAGCGCTGAGTGACATTGACATCTTCATACAGATAATAATTACATTAACTGAGATAGAAGTATTAGGGCCATAAAGGTTGCAAAGGAGTAGCTGAATGAAGAGTATGAGAGCTGAAGCCTGATAAGAATGTGTGTTTAGTGAGTTGTAAGTAATTACCTAGAAGGGAATTAATTGTAAGTAGTTGCTTCCAAAAAGGAGCGATGACCCAAGGAACTGCTATGTGTCTTTCTAATAAGCCTGTAGAACTAGCTAATTCTTTACCTACTTACAGCTTACATAAAAATTAACACAGTAGTATTAATTGTACATTAAGAAAACAGATGTGCAGATAGGGTCCCCCTGTGTTATATGGATTTGCCTTGAGTTGACTTAGAGAATAGGGTTGCTGCTGTTTCTCTTGTGAGGCTGATGATGGTTTTGTCTGTTTGTTATCAGATCAGATCCAAGCTGTGAAGACATGAAAAGATAGTCTCTGGAAACCTCAGCAGTTTTCAATTAAAGGAGTCTATGTAAGGCATACTGAATAATCTCAAATTTATTTTTAAAGATTTATGCATCCAAGAATATTTTACAATATTCTGCTTGCTTTTGTGGACTCTGGAAAAACTTTTTAAGAACTTAGGACTTGAGACATTGTTAATCTGGCCATTAACTATATGAAAACTAACATTACCTCAGAACGCCTTTGTTACTAGCTTCTTGTAAAGGTCTACATGTTGTTGTAATTAGAATGTGTAAATACCAGTTATAAGCCATCTCAATATCCTATCATGATTTATGATATCTTTAATGTATTTTTATTTTTTAATTGTCCTCTAAAAGTTTAGTTTATTCTATGGCTTTGAAGCTTGAATTGTGTTAGTAAAACAGCTTTAAAGAGTTATAAGGGATCACAGGTAATTGTTATATATGTAATTTTTATTGTGTCACAATCAATAAAAAATGAAATATACCAACATGAGTGCTTTGTTCATGCTGAAAATAATGTACTGTTTGGTGTTTTACTGCCAGTCATTATGAGACCAACCAAACTAAATTTACTTTTTGTTTACCAAATAGTTCCATACTTTCTGATTAGGCATTGCCCTGTAAACCTGCATGTGTGATTTTCTCTTCACAGTTGTGAAAGTTTGGGTATGTGGTCAGCCCATTCTTTCGGATCACTCATATGTGTAAAATATAACTTGCCTTCCCTGAAATCAATTTAATGAGGGAGAATCTGAGAACATTTGACATATGATTAATTTTATTTCATTAGCTGAATGACAATATTACATTTTCAGATTAATAAATTAAAATTTAATAAATATTTAATATTAATATTTTTATAACTGCCTTATTTTTTCTCTTAACATGCCTATGTTTCTGTTATAACATTATATAGGAGATAATTTATAAAAAGAAAAAGAGATAAAGCAAGGAAGAAAGAAAGATTGATTCTTGTTGAAATTTTTAAGGCTTCAGTTTATGCTCAGCTCCTTATATTCAGTCCTGTGATGAGGCAGTTTCATGGCTGTAATGCATGGCGAATCTGCTCTTCACTTCCACAGCTAGGAAGCAAAGTCCGAAGAGAAAGGGCTGGGGTAAGAAAACCCCTTCATGGTACATCCTCGACTCACTGCTGAAGGAGCCTGCAGGGGAGTCAGGATCCAAACAGCAGAGTAAAGTATCTCAACAAACTATTTAGAGACTGCTCTGTGAATGTTCTTTAGAATTTTAGACAAATCTCAGGTACACAACATGTAACTTCTCATAGCGTAAAGACCAGTTATAATCGTAAACTCTAACTTTAAGCTCCCATTTTAAACTAAACACTGAGACTAGTCACACAACAATGATGTCAGTCCTGAAAAACATTGCATTTGAAAGAAAAGTTATGAATTGTATAACATCTTTGACATTCTTAGCCATGAAACTAACAGACGGCAAGGTAAGTTATACAGATTCATTGTTGTACATATCCCAGTGGTGGTAAATGTTTTTACAGATTTCTAAAAAATAGCAATCAAAGCTATATTATCCAGTCTCTCAGAATCCAGAAATACCAATGAATGGGTATTTGTAAAACTGAAAATTATCAAAATATTGTAGTGGTTTAGTAGCTTAGCTGTTTTCATAGCCTATCATAAGTTGCTTTCATTAGAATGCAGCCTATGACATCCTCAAATATAGATAGAAAAGATGTAATGTGATGTTTTTTACATGTATTTATTTTCTTGGGGGAGGAAATACTATATGGAGGTAAGAGAACAACTTTCAGGAGTTGGTTCTCTCCTACCACCATGTGGGTTCCTGGGATTGAACTCAGGCCATTAGGTTTGGCATCAAGTTCCGTTCCCTAATAGTGCCATCCTCACAGCCTTATGATACCATTTACAGGAAGAAACAAACAAAAACAGATACATTGTAACAATTCACCCACCATGTATTTTTACAAATTCAGATCTTTACATCAGTTAGTCTTCACAACCCTTTGTGCTATGTCCTGTTGGCTCTGTTTTGTGGATTGAGACATTTGGACCTATTGTATGAGACTTTTCCTGGGTAAATAATGAAACATCTATAGAGCCCAGATAGGGCACCAACAACACACCAAAGAAATAAATTTAACGAAGTCCAACTTGGTGAACCAGTGAGTTTATAATGGCTACTTACTCCGGAGTATGAATGTAGGGTTACTTACAGAATCATGGACAACTCAAAGCCACATTGTCAAAGAACTCCATTCCTCCCAGCATGGCTGATGACTCAGAAAAGCTGCATCCATGGAGGTCAGCACATAGGTGGACAATTCAATTGGTCAGAATTTCCTCTTGAAGTAGTGCTTACTGCTTAGCATTGTGATTCAGGTAAATTTCAAGGACTTCCTGAGACTTGTTAGTTGTTCTCTTCCTGTGTCTAACTGAGCCATCATTTAGAAGTTTCTGTCCCTAAAGGAACTTCCCTCCAGGGTGGAATGTTTCATTTCAGAGGAAATTGGTTCTGTGATTTGATGAAGGCCGCAGAGATGAGAAATGCTGATTCTGGGCTTCAAAACCAGGCACTCTGTTTAGAACAAATGATTCAAAATAGGTAGGAAAATACAGGTATTATTTGGTAATATTACTAAAAGCAAAATTGATTGGAAAATCATAAACTAGAAACTACTGAAGATTGTTGGGTGTTGTTTATTTTGGTTGTTTGTTGGCTTTTTATTTTAAGTCTGTTAACACTGAAATTTTACTATCTGGGCTTAGATGAGGTACATGAGACTTTGACAAGTTACGTAAAAGTAACTCTTAGAACTACTGAAGGCTGCTATTTCAGAATTGCTCAGTTGTTTTCTATAGCATGATTAGTCCTTTCTGCCTGTTTTCTTTATTTTGACATCATCCATTTGCTCCTGCACTTCAGCACAGCTGCCTTGCTAATTACAATAGAAACAATGGGGCCAGGCCCTAGAACAATACAATATTCCTGTTTATTTGAATTTTAGAGAAAGCACAGGGATTCAAATAGAAGTAAATTCAAAAGTATGAGCACACTTCATGTTTGTTTTGTCTCTTGGCTCTTAGATATAAAAGCTGTATAAATGTTTTAACCTGTGCTCTAAGTGTTTTTGAAGATAGCCTTTCAGAATAGTGGCCCGAACTTGCCCCGATATCTTCTTCAGAGTACTACCCACTATTGTTACTGAGAACAACTTCACAGGCAGGATACAGCCTTTTACACAAGTGCAGAAAAGAATGGGATGGTTCTGACCAATGTAAGAGATGGTCTCGTCAGATTCAAAAGGCAGTGCTCTGCACTGCTTTAATCCTGCCACCAATGCACTTATAAGCAAGAGAGAAATGTACCTGCACTATTTTTCTCTCTACATTTTTGTCTTCCATTTGACAAGGGCAATGATAATGTTAGCTGGTGATATTATACTACTAAGTGCTATGTAACAATGTAGGCAATAGTATAGTAATGTTTAAATCCACATTCAGTTACCAGCTAACGTCTGTCACCCAAACTGTCTTACCCTAATAATGTGTTGCACTTGTCAGAGCAAAATTTTTGTTATTGGTTTTTTACTTTGGATAAATTAATCCAAATCAAGTGATGTATTCTAAATTAATCATATGTAAATAATACTATGAAGTTTCAGATATTTTATATAAATTGTTTTAATATCAAATAACGCTTCATTAAAAATCATGCAAAATGATAGAAATGCATTTGTCCCATAATTTAAAGTAATAATGATAAAGTACAAGTATCTATATATTTCACATTGACATAAAGCAAAATGAAGCTTATTTTATAGTTTTATATAGTTTCAAACAATAAAATATAAATTTAAAAAACTACTTAAAACTAAACTAATTAGCCATTCACACATATGGAAATATTTTGATGAAAGAAAAAATACTTTCCCCTTGTTTCCATTAAACCATTAAATTGTGAACACCATTTATTACTACACTTCATTTTCAAGCAAAGATTCTCTAGAATCAAATTGGATAATGATATAGGACACCATATGTATATAAGCTTAAATTATTGCATTTGTATTTAGCATATTATATAATTGTAATGTATCTCAAAGTTGAAACAATTGTTTTCCCATGTTTGTACATCATCAGCATTAAAAAGTTTAAGCTCTGTATTTTAACAGAGCATTTTGTAAAATGTTCAGATCTTACAGCGCTGTTTAAATATTTCTGTGTTGACCTTTCCAGACTGCTTTATAAATCATAGACGAACTGAGTTTTATGTATTTTTCATTTAAGGTTCTGATACAAATTATGAATTATACCCTACTTACTTGAAAATTTTTCTTTCAGAACTTTGGCTCATCACTGTTATGATTTCCATAATTATGTGCATTTACTTGTGAAAATATTTGCTTGATTGAGGTTGATATAACAAAATAACCACAGCCTTGGCAGCTCACATACAACAGAAGTTGTAGAGGATAGAGATTTGCCATCAGGCTGCCATTGCTTTAAGGTTCAGTTGAAAGCCTTCTTCTCATACATAGAGTTCCATCTTCTCATTGTATCCCAATAGAAAGGAGGGAGAGAACACTCTGGGCTTCTTTTATAAGAGTATGAAGGCTATTATATCCTACGAGAGCTCCACCATTATGAACTAATTACTTCCCAAAGACTGTTCCTCCTCATATCACACTGGTGTTTAGGATTTCAAACTGTGCATTTTGTGTAAACACAGGGCAAATTCAACATGCTTATCACTCTAGTATATTAAATAAAATATGCCGATTTACTAACTTCATGTATAACATCTACTCTTTTGCTACTTTTCTGAGACTGTTCCTCCTCATGTTACACTGGTGTTTAGGATTTCAACTTGTGCATTTTGTGTAAACAGAGAGCAAATTAAACTTGCTTATGAATTCACTCTAGTATGTTAAATAAAATATGTTGATTTACCTAACTTTATGTATAGTGCCTACCCTCTTACTATCTTTCTATGTCTTAGCTTAAAAGAATTGTTTACTCACTGTGCTTTAATACAACATAAAGAAGGAGGATTTATCTTGACTTACCATTCCTGGGGATACAGTCAGTCTCAGCAGAGAAAGTGTGGTAATAGCGGCAGTGTGCAGCTGGGCTCTTTGTATCCACAGTCAGGAAGCTGAGAGTGATGAATGCTTATACTCAGATTGTATTTTTACTCTGTCTAGGACCCCAGCCTGGGGAACGATACTACTCACATTTAGGATGAGTCTCCCTATAGCAATTTAGATAATCCTTAAGACAAGCCCAATGATTTGTTTCCATGATGATTCCAAATCCCATCAAGTTGTCAGGATTAACCATTACCACTCCTATCCTTGTCAACATGACCCAAACACATCACTCTTAAATTTCTGTATCTTGTTCCCATAAGCTTGTGGCCACCTCATAATGTAGAATGCATTCAGTCCAACATCAAAAGTGCCCCTATAATTTAATAATTATAACAT